ACACGGCAAAAGCGTGTTGCCGGGGAAACGCGTTGCCCGTGGGCAACAGCATCGCACATATACATCCTTCTCTCTACTCTTTCCTCGTCAATTCGCGCTTTATGGTCGACTGCGACGACCACTCGGATGCTACCGCGCGACCGATCTCTTTTTTCGTCTACTCGCGACTGATTGTTTTCCAACAAAAAAATCTGGCAGTGCTTTATGAATTTTTGTTTTTTGTTGTCGGTGCGTTTGAGTGATAGACGAAAGTGAATTGTTAATGCACAATATATTCTGGCCAATTAACAAGTGCAACGTGTTTCGTTTTTTTTTTCTTTTTCAGCAGCGGATGTTTACCAAGATGAACGTGGCCTAGTTGCACGAGAAATGCTGTGTTAGTGCGATCCTTTTCTAATTGCATTAGATTTTTCCTCACATTATCGGCTGATGAATTATCGCAAAAACAGCCATGTAAAATCTAATTTCGTCTTAAAATCATATTCAATCCGCGGATAAGTCGTCGAACAACATCGAACTTCGAAGGGATGTATTAACAGATCCACTCTAATTTAAAGACGCAATAATGTCGTCTCATTGTCACGCAATGTTTACATTCAATTGCAGGTTATGATACACATCCGCCGCGTAACTTTATTCGAATTTTGCAGCGATTTTCGCCGTGATTATGCTCAGATTGACGATCAGTTCCGTCATATATTGAAGAACGTACGCTAGATGTGCTGTAGTTGTGTGTGTATCTATAGGTTATGTAAACGCGCGGCGTCATGTAAAGTAGGGCACGTTGAAGCCATTCCTATATATGTTTGAAAATGGCGAAGTTTTATTTCTCGCGCGCCGCATTCTTTTCAATAGTAATATGGTGCTTCAAAAATCTATATTTAAACACCAGCTTTAAACTTTTAAACTTGGCTTATTGGTGCCTAGTCGCATGACGATAACGGTTGTAAATGAAAAGAAACAACAATCTTTATTTTTATTTAATTAAAAAAATAAAAACCTACGGCCTCGGGAAAAACTTGTTTATACAGAGAAACCAACAATGAATCACAACATCCCTATTGTTTGCCGCACGATCGAATCATCCGTCGCGTAATAAGCTTTTGATTTTATAGTGTATATAAACTCGCATGGCAGCTCTGGTGTATATAATTTTTTTCTTGCTTCACTTTATACGCCTTGCCATTAGCGGTGTCGACGAACTCGAAAATCCGGCGCGCTCAGCAACTCTCTCTCTCTCTCTCTCTCTCTCTCTCTCTCTCTCTCTCTCTCTCTCTCTCTCTCTCTCTCTCTCTCTCCTCTCTCTCTCCTCTCTCTCTCTCTCTCTCTCTCTCTCTCTCTCTCCTCTCTCTCTCTCTCTCTCTCTCTCTCTCTCTCTCTCTCTCTCTCTCTCCTCTCTCTCTCTCTCTCTCTCTCCTCTCTCTCTCTCTCTCTCTCCTCTCTCTCTCTCTCTCTCTCTCTCTCTCTCTCTCTCTCTCTCTCTCTCTCTCTCTCTCTCTCTCTCTCTCTCTCTCTCTCTCTCTCTCTCGTCTCTCTCTCTCTCTCTCTCTCTCTCTTTCTAATCTTAATAAAATTTCAATGATAAAAATCCAAGGCTTTTGCTTTTCGTACCATACGCGTCTATTCAAAATATATAAATAATTATTGTTTGTGCACACACAAGATAAATCCAACGAAAAGCCCGCTGTTATATACTTTGCGGTCGTCCAAAGATCTCGCCGGGCGTGCTCGCTTGCGTGGACTATTTTCGGCAACCAGTTAGTCGCAAGCTGTTTTATATAGTTTTTTTTGTTTTTACGTAGGCTACGCAGATAAGAGCGCTTCGAAATTAGACTCGCGCTGGAGCGTAAAACGACGCGTTACCGCATGTTGCTTTTGTGCGCATTCCACCTGTTTTATTTTTCTTCAAGACGACTGCGTCTACCGTTAAACGAAGAGTTTATGTATTTGCTTTTTATCATTAGCATTCGATACGCCTGGTAAAAATATGTTAACCGTTATATTTTTAAATTGAGTACTATAATGGCGATTGATCGGAAATAATTGACTGAAAATAAATCTTCGATTAATATATATGGCTGTCTTTACCGACCGAGTTCAATGTCATCACCGTGAACAAAATTAAGTTTCTTTTTCTTAGAATAGATATTTTACGCACAAGTTTCTGCGTCGGTAAAACAGAATTAGCAAAATCATTTTATTAGAACTATAGACATTAATACTTCTTTCAATTTTGTTTCAGTTATTGAAAAATTGTTACGCGGAAAAATTTGAAAAAATGGCTCCAGACAGACCAGATGCATCGGACGTGGTGACTAATGGAATACCCATAGCAACGTCGACATACGGACTGTGCAACACATTCGGCATCAAAGAAAGCGACAGCGCGAATCATCAGCAGTACCTCGAGGAATCGATGGTGCATGCTAGTGAAATCGTTATCGAAGAAGAGGTTAAACCGGAGATTAACGAGAAGCCAATTAATCAATCCGATGACGATTTAACGTCACTTAGTTGGTTGCACCAGCAGAATTTACTGAAAGGGTTGGATATTACGGAACAACAACCAATAAAGAATGTTAAAGATGAAAATATTCTAAATAATAACGTGGTCGCGTACGAAGATAGTCTTGATACTTCGGAAAATACAAATTCCGTATCCAGTCTGGATGAAAGTTATTATCCAGGTAAGTTATATATCTACAACGCTAAATGTTCATTCAGTTAAGTATACAAACGAAACTTTATTTACAGAAAGTAACGGCAACCCCGGTGGAGTATGTTCGCCGCAGTTTGGAGCCTATGACGTAATAGTGAGTAACGGTTGTTCACCTCCAAAAAATACTCAGGAAAATTCATCACCGAACGGTAAGTTCTAAAATAAAAATCTCGTGTGAACGAACCGCAGTAAAGTACGATTCGGTAAACACCAGGTACAACACGCAACAAGCATCCAACCCACATACCTTACGATCCTCATCTGCACAAGAACAGCAAGCCACCATACTCATTCTCCTGCCTCATCTTCATGGCTATCGAGGACAGTCCAGTCAAAGCACTTCCAGTCAAGGAGGTTTACGCTTGGATACTCGAACACTTCCCGTACTTCAGAAATGCTCCGACCGGCTGGAAAAACTCGGTCAGGCACAACTTGAGCCTAAACAAGTGCTTCCGCAAAGTCGAGAAATCACCAGTGAGTGTTTCTCCAGATACCACCCTTTGTGTAGGTTTTTTGTTTTGTACAATTTTTCTTTTTTGTAACGAGGTTGCTTTGAATATGGATGTGAAAAGGTATTTTATTGATTTCTTTTATTTCTCAGATTCGTGGGAATAAAGTATTTTTTTGTAGAAATTTGTAATTAACGTTGCATGTTTTGGTGTTGTATTATAAATTATATAAATTAAGGTGTGCTGAATTTTTCAATTCACTTTCAAGCAAACTTGGTGATCATAATAACTATGAATTTTAAGTTATCTCTGTTAATTGAAAAAAAAATTTAGAATCTAGGCAAAGGTTCGTTGTGGATGGTAGATGCACAGTACCGCCCAAATTTACTTCAAGCTCTATCACGTTGCCCTTATCCGTTGCCAACAAATGCCAATATCATTGCGCCGGAAAAGTCAACGCGCAAAAGTTCCAACACACGACTGCCGGATCCTGTGTTGTTTCCGTATTTGTCCAAGCGACTTGCGTCGAGTAACATTGACGACAATTCCGATGCTGATTTCGACAGTGACGTCGATGCAGCGGCCGCTGCCATGTTGTCCTTCAAACATGGCCCAATAATTCTTAATCACAATAAAGGTAGATAGGTTTAATGAATTTTGTTGTTCAGCTTCTGCAATCATTGAGTTTCATTTTCATCTGATTTGGGTTGCTTTGGTTTTTTTTGTCAATAATTACTAATGAATTTTTATTTGTTTATTTTCTAGTCGAGTTTGTCATTTGTATCACTAATCACTAATGATGTCATTGCGCCTGCTTTTTTCCATTTCAGTGTTTATTAATGAAGATAATTGTAATGATGAAGATATTATTCCTGACGTAGATCCTAAAAGAAAAAATCCTGAGCCAGATAAGATGGTTCCGGTGATTACACGGAGCTGTACCGAAGACCATACGTACAGCTTAATCACGTCGGTGCGTCTGGAAAGGTACGTTTTAATTCTGAACCATTGGTAAAGCAGAATGTCGATAATGGCATATTAAACTTTTTTTGTCGTTGACAACAGACGGCAAATTAATACGTGTTCAGACATAGACGAGCAACGTAAAATTGCCGAAGGTGCCGATGCTCTTCTAAACCTAGCGGGTGTAACAACAGAGTCATTTATAGTGCGCGATCCACTCGACCCTGAAGAAGAGGAAGGGGAATTCGATATGCTTTATGGCCCGTACAAAAACGCTCTGCCATCGATCTCTGGCAGTGACCCGCTAGAAATCAGACCTACAAACAAACGCCGCTCATCGAATACCGATGTCACAAACAAACGACGCAAACGACCGTGGCAAGAAGCGTGGAACGCCAATGGCAGGTATCCTAAGCAAGTGCGAGGCTAATACTCGATATAAGCTCATTCGTTAAAACTGTTTAATCGTAAAATTCAAAGTTTCATCGATTGCATGTCAAAGACACTCGATAAATTGACGTTAAAGTTCACTTAGATCTTATGCACAGTTGGATGTTTTATATCGATGAAGCTTCTCATCGTATGGAAAATACTACTAGGCGTGGTGATTTACGAGATAAAAATAGAGAGGAACGAATGAATGATTTACGTGTTTTAACTTTTTTTAACGCATGTGTATGTATGTGTTTGTGTGCGCTTGTATGTGTATCCACACGTACATAAATTGAATATGAACGCGTATATACACATGGCAGACCAGAGTTAGAACACAACTCGTGCAATGCCAAAAACCAATTCAGTAGCACTAAACGTCAAGCAATAACGCAAGGGTAAAGGGAGATAAAGATTGCTAGTGTGTGTATATATATATATTTATATATATAAAGAGGATATATAAATATTATTGCAGTACCGTCCATTAATTCTGAACAGATAATCAATTTTTTGCTTCAAATTCGAAGGAACATATCTTCAAATTTGATCCTAGACAAATTCTGAGTATATCATTTCAAATCTTTATTCAGAGTTTTGCCAGTTGTAATATTTAAAAAATCGTAAATTATTGAATAAAAGCGTAGAAATGAACATATTACAAAAATTACTTGTACAATTTGTTTTTTGAGAAAACATATTTAAAAAAAAATAGTCAGCTTGAGAAAAAGTTTTGAATAATATGCTAAAATGGTCCGTTCAAAAAAATGTTTAGAATAAAAATTGAAGAATATATACTCTCTTAACGACTCAAAGTTAAAGCTACAAATTGATTACTTGATTAGTATTGATGAAGAGTACTATATATGGAGAAGAATTTTAAAGTAATAATGTAGACAAAGAGCAGTCGCTACTTGATTGCAAATTTTAAATGAGTGAATTACAAGGAGAGAAAGTTGTGTATGGGATGTTGTCGGAATGTTGTCAGACTTATAAACAAAAAATGTTGCGATTATCATAAATAGAAAATATTAATTCATATAGAGAGTTTATTAATAATAATCACAGATCTTTATTAGACTTTTTCTTGTAGATATTGTATAGAGATAAAAAAAGGCTAACTAATTATTCACTAAAAAAATTATATATATATATAATTTCTTGATATCAAAGTTCATAACATGCACGTAGAGCACATAAGAGGAAATAATATATTTAAGTTGAAAATGCCAAGTTTGTCTCATCTGTAGAGTCACTTATTTTTATATTCGTATTTATTATGAATTTTCATTTATTTCTAATGTAGGTAAAAAAATCTAACGTAATATATTATGTTTAATATATTATTTTTCAATGCACATATGCTTGTGTGAACATATTCAGTAAGTTACCAAAGATGAGACGCACTAGGTATTATGAATGACATCACGCGAACAATAATCACTGACGTACTAGAAGTATATGATTTATTAAATAGTGGACGGAGGCTACGTAATATGTCGTATATACAAATATATGTAAAAAAAGATCCAGTATTTCTCACCTTTTTCTACTCTATATGTGGCTTTTCAAAACAAACAAGAAACTCACAGAAACATTTCGGCAAACGCGCACAAGCATATAAGCTTTCTCGTACTAAACAAGCTCGAAAATAAATTATTATCCTTTATTTTATTAGATAATAAAAGCTTATATGGCGATGTTGAAGCGCGACAAAAAAAATATATAAAGACGGACGGATATAAGCGAAAAATATATTTTTACAGGGCTTTTTGCCCGCGTGATAATGCTCTTCCTATAGTAAAAATTTTTGCTGTGACACTTGTCGCTAAACCCATTGCAATGTAATCAGTGATTGATCTTTTCGTTGAACTTCGACATTGTTATTATGATACACGCATTATCATGATTTTGCATAATAATTTGAACGTTACTATTGGCTCTATTACAAAATTAAATCGCTATTCGTTAAAAGGAATCGTTTATTTATTTTGATAGTATTCGTAAGCTGTTGAGAATATGAAAATTATTAATATATTTTCTTATTTAACTCTTTTAAAAAAAAATCGTGATTTAGCGCGTTAATAATTTTTTGTTTTGTTTTCAAAAGAGATAATATAAAGTGTGTTGAATTTGTAAGTATTTTGATAAACATACTTTTGATAGATCATGTAAGATATACTTTTTCTAAAACGATAAAGCGTTTTTCAATATGAATTTTTATTTACTTTTTAACTAATTTGGATGAATATTTGTAAATTCCTTGACTTAAAAGAAAGTAAAAATAACCTTTTAACATTAAGCGATTTAATTTCTATATTTGGAAATTAATGTTAAGATGAATTATTTTTGTATAAATGTAAATATTTTGTTTTTCCTTGGCGTTGTTTATGAAAAAGATTCATTGACGATTTAAAATCTTCGATGGGTCGAGTTGTACAATTTTAAATAAGCTGTTGCGGTTATATAGTCGTTAATAAAACTACGTAAGTTATGTTTTTTCTCGATTTACCTTTAACATATGAAACTCAAAGCTATATGGAATATCGTTCAACTTTGACGCTCATTTACAATGTTGTTCAGTTACTCCATAAATTTTGTTCCAAATGAAAAGATGAAACAATAACCTCAGACATGTAACCACGTAAATCTAGTCTTAACAAAGCGAGTCCGCACACTTGCATACTCCAATTATATTCGTCCCAAACTTTCTTCAAAATGTTTATTCAGCTCTGTCAGTTCAGAAATAAAAATCTAAAATTATAGTTTTGTAATTTCGTAGGAGCGAACGGATCTTGTGGTCAGACACGTTAACATTGCGATTCCTTCGTTATTTACCTCTAGATCGCGGTTTACGTTTTATCAAAAGTGACCGAGGAATGTATGTTGAAGAGAATGCCACATACGCAAAACAAAATGAATAACTTGAGAATTCACGCTTTTTAGCTTTTATTATAGAGCTTGATTGCAAATATATCTATCTGTGATATAAAAAAAGGTTTTCGAGCTTCTAAAAAATTATTCTTACGGCATTCTAGTCTCTATTCCTCAGTCTAATTTATAATTCTCGATGCGCTTGTTAAAAATAGAATTTATCGTGAATAAGGTGGAATTTGCATTACCTTATTGCGTATGAAAAAAAAATTAACTTTTATTCGCGACGACTGACAAGTCTGTTCTTCCACGCACCGCATCCTTCAGTTAATAATGGAATAGAAATTTACGCTTTAATTATAGATGAAAAAATCGTTACTAATTGTCGAACGAAAATGATCACTACTAGAAAAATAACTAACGTTTGAACTACTAAAAATTCAAATGTGCGATATTATCATAAAATAGCGATAATCCTGAAGTTAGTTAAAGTCTTGAAACCTTACATTGAATGATCTTAATCGTATAAGTATCTGTAAAAAAGCAATACACCAGTAACACCTGATATCGAATGAAGAATACTCTAAGTCAGCCGACTAATTTTTCATTTTCTTTTTCTTTTGATTTTGACAAAGAAAATAATAATAATAATAATAATAATAATAATAATAATAAAAATAATAATAGTAATAATGATAATGATAATGATAATGATAAATATAAAAATAAAAAAATCGAAAAAAAATTGTTGAACGGCTGACGGACTAGCGACACGTATAATTGTATATTCATAAATATAGGTGTAAAAATGTCATATTGACGTATGAAAGAGCCTCACCTGACGTACATGATATTTTTAAGTGCAAAAAGTCCAATGTATGTATTTTATGTATGTCGCATCACCTACACTTCTATGACAGGAAAGGTGGTTGAATATTTTGCGCTCGTCATTTATTCTTGTACTAGTTTTTTTTTCTTTTGTTCGTGAACTTCGGATTTCATAATGATTGATAGAAGAAAACGGAAGGATGTATATCGTACAATTACAAAAGTGTCAATTCAAATGTGAACAATACCACTAGATTTATATTATGATATACATCTTTAGAACATATCTCGCATAAATAAATTATCCTTTGAAAACTTAATCCAATCTTGATACAACCTTTGATAAATATTTTACGACACTGATATAACAGTTATAAAAAGAAAATAATACCTGGATAAACGATACGCGCATTTTCGAAAATGAATTCAACACCGAAATTATTGTCAGAGTAGCTTGCACGGACAATCAAAGACATAAAGTTAATTATGCGTACCATCACGAGGCTTGTTTTTATAAAAAAAAAAACAATCAAAAAAAGAAAACACACTGAACAAAAGCCCGCGACGTTCATTCAGGTATAATATAGGCGCCATCAGATAGTCAACTTTAATATATAAACACACAACTTTACAAATTATATCCCTGTGTCACCAAGGATTGCTTCCGCTATGTTTTTAAATTTGTGCCAAAAAGATAACAAAGTTTCTGTTGAAGACGTAGAGTCTCCTGTTTAACACACTTCCTAAGGAAAATATATTATATATGAATGTTTCTTGTACTTTATCAATTCAATGTCAACGACGCTTGAGGTGTTGAGATGAACGATTATGTCTGTACATAACTCGAGAATGTGATTTGTATATGATTGTTTTCCACGGGTCGTATACACTTTCTATATATATACTACTGTAAGCTCCGACGCGATGATCCGTTCGTTGTTGCGGCGATTGGTTATATAGTTTCCTTTTATGTTTTTATTGCCATTTTTTTGGATAATGTAATGTTGTTGATGATTGTTGACGTTTGAAAGGTTAAGGTTTCGCGACTTCAAGTATCCAAAATTCAGATACCAATTATTATAATTATAACTATACATCATTATTATCACTATCCTCATAGTGATGATTTTATTCTTACAATATTATATCATCATAAGTACTATAATTACTATTATTATTGATTTGAAAAAAAACAATCAATGTAAAATGTTTGTTAAGTTTGTGGCCTTGCTTATATAATTTAAGTATATATAATAATATTTTAGGCTGTAACCACGACAAAATTTTACCCAATAAAAATCTAAAATTACATTCTTTGCTGAATTCTTTTCAAGCTTTCACGAAAATAGAAGAAAAACAAAGGCATTACTCGGATTGATTTAAAAACTATAATTTAACGAATTGTTCGTAATTTTTGCCGAATAAATCAACAAACTATTCATGATTCCAAACAATGAAAAAATTAACACGAAGTAAAATGTTTAATTAGCCTGCCAACAGTCTCAATTTCATTTTAAGCAAAAATGCGTCTTCTTACAAGAAAAAGCGGGGGTTTCGGTATCATGCTTTTCTTGGCGCGAAAGTGCAAATTTGAACTTCAAACAACACAGAAGAACAAAGAAAAAGAAATAACACGCACAAATGCATTTAAAAGCTCGTGTAAGTCTTTTGCCAAGAAAACAATCCACTAATTCAAGTGCATGTATATGTGCGTTCCACACTCGCTTCTCAAATACACACTTGTGTTTGTCGTGAGCGTGAAAATTGAGGGCGAGCGACGAACCGCCCCAAAAAGGGACCAACAGTTAAGTGACTTCTTTCACCGTGGTGTATAATGAGGTTGAACGTTACGTCACGGAAAATTCTTGGATGTTTCGTATTGTTTTAAACGGTCCAATTTCACGCACTTTACGGAACAATATTGAATTTTTTTTTGAAAGATTTATCGGAGTTAATTTAATCTTTATCATCTTTAATAAGTACAAAAAGTCTTCAAAAATTCTTGTTTATTTTTTGGTTTCAATTCTTCAGAACGATTTAGCTAAAATTTATCGAATTTTTATCGCCTTAATTGCGTCGAAGAAAGTTTTAAAAATATTTCACATCGCTTAAAATGTTCTAAATTTTGTAATTACATGCATTACAGAGAAAAATCATGAATCCTTCTGGAAGATTTACGAAAGATTGATTAAAGATTAATTGGATCTTTATCGCTTCAAACGTGTAGGGGAATACTGCAATTAGCCGCATTTAATATGAAAAAATGTTGAATTCTTTGGAAAGGCCTTTAAAACATTCATTAAAGATTGGTTCAACATTTATCCCATAAACTTACAAGCAAAATATACAACTAATTGAGTAGAAGCTTTGATGTTTGTCATAATCAAACGTAATATAAAAATATTATCCCGGCAAAGTCAAACGCTAATCTTGCAAAAACATAAATAAACAAATTACCTTCACTATAAAATTACCATCATGAAAACTCGCAGTAAAGATCTCAACGCCAACGAAATCATAAAATTCGTTCTCTCAATTAAGTAATAGAGCCGTCGCGCGCGAGAGAAAAATTGAAAAACGATCATCGAAACACGCCGCTCTTTCTCTTTCTCTCTCGCTCTACTCGGTCCGCAGCAAGATCAAGCACCAAAGAAGGCAACGCATACCTGCGACTAATGATGTGGAAAATTAAGGAAAAGCGAGGAGCGCGCGCAGGTATAAAAGGAAGCGTAGGTGTTTAGCCATACAAAAGGCCTTCGTGTTCGCTCTAGATTTTTCCATTCCCAAATGAGAATCCCATAAATTTTCTTTGTGTATATATATGTACGTGCAACTTTTTTTTCGCTCCCTCGACGCCGTGCGAACGACAAAACTATACCAAAGAGAGAGAAAGAGAGAGAGAGAGAGAGAGAGAGAGAGAAAGCGCAACTCGAAGAAACTGGCGAAGGTGTATGCGCTTCCCTTCCTTCTTCCTTATACTTCTTCCTCTCTCTCTCTCTCTTTCCCGCAAGCTGCTATACTCTGCTCGCTCGCCGAGAGAGATAGACCCTTCCACCTTCGTTTCGTTTTGACGACGATGCACTCGAGGAGAGAAACTGCAGGGACGGCCGCTACGTCGCATCTTCTCTCTTTTCGACACGTGTTGTAAAGCAAACTCAAAACATCATCCCTATTTTGTCCGCGCTTTCGTTTTTAAAGCAGAGCGTCGAAAACACTGTTTGCATGACGACGGCCAATTTAATTTAAATTTTGTTCTTCGAAAATATTAATATTAATCCAAGTGGCTTATCAATATATGAAGTAGGGATTGAATAATTTATGAGACTTCAGCGTGAAACTGATGAATCGCACAACTACCAAACATGACAAACCTCGTAATCGTATTTTTCAGGTTCGGTTCAGTCAATCTTTGTGTCTTTTATTCGTCGTGAAAAATATTTATTTAACACACTGTGCCAACCGATAAAAGTGTGACAAGTCCATCGAACTTGCAATGATTTATTATCGGATCTTTTATGCCCACTTGAGTGTGCATTACCTAAAAATAGGCTTTTTCCGTTGTAGTTTGATACATTTATTCCCGAAAAAACTATTCATTAGATGCAATCTCTCAGCAGGTATATAACAAGATCATCAGATACTTACACTCAGATGAACGACAAAAGTGAGAGAGCACCCGTTTGGCACAAAGCGCTCTAAATCGACCATGAAAATTTCGGAAAAAAGCAGCAATAAAAATCTGTCCCTTTGGTAAAAAAGGAGAAGACGAAGAGACGGAGAGAGAGAGACTCTCAACCCCCACCATCAGAGCGATGAGGCCCATTGGCAATACGGCCCTGTACACTGTGAGAGCGACGAAGAGCAGAAACAGCAGCAGCAGAGGAGAGGAGCCAAAGCAGCACATCCAATTGCCACAGCTTTCTCTCTCTCTCTCTCTCTCTTTCTCTCTCTCTTTCGCGAAGGAAGGTGTACCCACACATGTACACAGCAAGAGTCGCCAAGAGAGAAAGAGCACTATATGCTTCCCCTCTCTTCGTCTTCGGCCGCCGCCGTCGCCGCACGCTGCTGCGGCTCGAAAACTCGTCGGTCTGCATTCCACAGTGTTTCGCCGGACGCCAAGCTCGACGCTCTTTACTTCGCCGTTGTCGCTGCGACAGGAACAGTGAGAAATTGAAAAATGGACCGATAGCGAATCGACTTTTGGACCATGCGTGACACTTATTCCTGGATTTATCGTGCGTCAAAGGGTAAGTCGCGCGCCACGCGCATACTTTGTTTATTCGCCGTTCGACGGACAAGTGAATTTTTGAATTTTGGCGCCAGGCGCGAGTACGCGTATATTTCTCATCCTCGCGAGTTAATCGAGCCGAAGAACGTTGCTCGCGCGCGGGGCGACGTTTATTGTTTCTCCCTTTTTTTTTTCTCCGCCTATTTTCCTACCACCTCTGGTGCCTTCCTCGCACACAAACCAGCAAACCACTCGAGGAGGTTAGGGTCGCGCGCAAAGAACTCTTGTGCATCCGTACGTGTTTGCGCTTGTGCTTGTCACTTACCTACTTCTCTGCATTTTTTCTTTTTCTTATTATTTTTCTTCTCTTTGCAAATGTTTGCGGAGAACAACTTGGGGCGTCTCGTCCTAAAAATAATAACGGCGCTCGGCGGCGAACCCTTAGTATACGCGCCCGCCCGCGTTCGATTTTATTTTTATTTCGCCTCTGACTAGCACCTGCGTGAAACGTCCTTTTATAACGCTTTTTGCACGAGACCTGATGGATGACGGGCGCCCGTTGCATTTTTACGACGCTCTCGCGTGATCAATTTGATTTTATTGCTTCGTTAAGAATTGCACATATATATCAAGCGAAACACATGCGAGTAGGCTGCACGGTGCCTGGAGACTACTTTCAAATCCAAAGTGGTCTAGCTGCACGCAACTGTGACTTCGAAGCACCTATTTTTGAAATTTTACATTTAGTATAACGGTTTACAGTTTGCAGCCTACGTGCATGGGAACTTAACCTTTTTTTAAAAGGTACGCGAGGGGGATGATTTTAGTTACCGGACAAGGATCGCGAATGTATACAACAGAAAAGTTGGCGAAGGTGAGTGAAACGAGGTGTTTTAGAGCGATTATTATGACTTTTTTACGCGCGTCGTTATTTCGCTAAAACATCATCTCCTTTGATGATCAAAGTACGCGCGCGCTTGGTTATTGGGTTTTTGATGGTACTTTGGGCTTTTACACGTTCCGCGCGATTACGAGCTAGAAGGATTCTCATTATTTGATCTGTTAAAGTGCATTAGGATACGTCGTACGATCTTTACTGCCACTTTACTCGCGTTAAATTGTATTTGCTTTCCGAAAGCAAATTGTATTCGTAGACTTTTTCAATCAGGCATTTTCACACTTAATGAAACATCTTTAACGCACACTAACATGTCGTTGACACGACGTGCTTCTCAAAGTCCATTAAGCTTGTCAAGTGCGCCTTTTGCGATCGTAAAATAGCCTTCATAACTATATTTTAAGCTTCTCAAAAAGAATGCTCTCGGTTTTCCCTGCCAAAGAAAAAAAAAGAAAAATACACTCGTAAAAACACAAGTAATTTCCAGTTAAAAATAATAATTCGCCACCCGCCGCGGACGGTTAATTTCTACAGCTCATTTCCACCTTTACACCCAATAAAAATCTGTTCTCACGAATTGTGTTTGTCCGCGGCGTCGGCGGCGACGGGCAATATTAATAACACCTCTTTCTAACAAAGAATAAGTACCTTTTTGCACTGCGCGCGCAATACAAAAGGGACGACGATTTTTACTCCTCTCTCTTTTCTCTCCTGGGTGCGCACTTTTTTTTCGCGCGCTCCGCCTTTCGGCCTTCTCTCTCCGACATTTATTTCCGTTCACGTTTCGGGGAAGAAACTGCTTCTGCTGCACGTCCCGTAAATATTGCCGCAACAGTAGAAACTCAATAAAAAAAAATAAAAAAAAAGAGATGACAATTGTCATTTGTCGCTCGTGGAGATACGTCGGAAATTGCGGGGGTCCACCATTCTTCGCTAAGCCGCGGGGGGGGGGGGGGGCGGCGCAAAAGAATGCGCACCAAAAAATGTCACCCGTAGGATACACTTTTTGTCCGCGTAAGAATGAAGACGAGATTCCGCCGAGACGTTTGCACTTGTTCTTGAAGCGTTTTACTTCAATGCGCGTTTTTTTTTTTTTTTCGTTTTGCGTATACTTGGGGGTTTCTCGCATGCGGGTTCGCGTTTGACGGTTCATTGTGTGGACTTATAATTGTTTTTTTTTTTTTGAATGATGAGACAAACTTCACGGCGACTTGCGCTCACGTGCGCGTAATTCTATCTTCATTGTTCTATTTCTCGACAGAGCACGACAAGTTGCGTCCGCGATAATATTTTCAGGTAGTTAAATTTGTCATCGGAGACATTCGATTCTTAGCCGACAAATCACACCAACGACTTCTCTCGGAGATTAATATCCGTCGCATACAAACAAACTTTCGATGCAGGAATAAACACAACAAATTTCTTCTCGTACCGGCTATGTAGATTGTCAAGTTAACAAAGTTAAGTAAACAACCTATTGGTCTCCCCTCCGAAAAAAAATACAGATTAGGGATTATCGTGTTTGCCGAGAAAACACTTAATTTGGTATATACAAGGCACGGCAGCCGTAGCGAGAAGTTTGCTTAGGTCGAAAGCGTGTTACCGATATCTGTGTGTATCGATTATTGGTTGTGCCGTGTCTCCCCTTAAAAAAGAGAGAGAAACTTGATGCGGCCGGACATGACCTTCTGGAAATGGGTATAACGTGACGTGAAACGATAAAGTTTCTAGTCGATTTGGCTTTTGCTTATATGCCTTACGTTCGCTTGGCGATGCGATAAATTACATATGCGATGCGCATCTTTCTCTTATAGATCGTGCTCCGATGATAGCTCACGGATTTCCGTTTTTTTATCGCCGCGACTGATTTAAATCGGAACTCCGTGTCAACGAGAGAGATGCTTGAAGACTTCCGTCGTACTTGCTTGTCGCTTTCTTCTTTGGTTCTGATTTTTTTTTTTCTTCTCTCCTGAGAAATTTGTTGGAAAACAATTGTATTGTTAATGCGTTGTTTTTGCGAAAACTGCACGCTTTTCGTTTAAAAATGGTTTTGTGAAATTCTTTTTTGTATACAAACTTAATTTTAGTAACGTTTATTAAAGAGTTATGGAAGATTTGTTTCATGTGCATGCTTCAATTATGCAAAGAACATTTTGTAATTATGTATACAACACATTTAATTATATATACTTTTAAACGTTACACTTTATGATATAGAAAATCTGGAAGATTTTTAAAAGATTTATTAAAGATTCTTTGAATATTTATCGCCTCAAATACGCAAAGAAATTACATTTTACGTTAAATTAATATTGAATTCTCTTTAAAAGGTTTTTTAAAGATTTTTAGAAGATTCGCTAAATATATATTTTTTTTTCTTCAATTTATACCTAAAAAATTATGGCAAGTTAAAAACAAGTTCTAATATTTATCATAATAATATTTTAAAACATTATCCAAAACGGTTGCTAAAATTTGCATTATTGTGTGCGGCATACATAAATGCTATTAATCTTCACTATAATGTCGTGATTTTTTATAGTATACATTAAAATTTTGAAATAGAAGAGTAATCAAATATTTATTCCTTAACTGTCTATTGAACGACGTAACATTTTTAGTGAATTACATGTCATTTATCGTTACACAATCTTTTCAAGATATATCACTTTTTTTGATGTGATCATTATCCAAAATAAAGATCAAATAAATACCTTTGCAAATATCATTCAAAACGCCAAATGCTTAACTTAACGACCAAGAAATTAAATGTAAAAAAAGGTCGTTGAATTTTCTACTAAGAAAATTCACATACTCCACATCTCACATTCGTTCGCATAATCATTTTTTTTTATCTACCAAGAAGTCTATCGTAATCCAATATTGAATATACCAATGTAAAACACGCATCACAGGAAAAAGACTCAATTCGAGAGCGGAGTCATATATATATAGAATTTGGTGTCTTATCCGCTCTGGACGAATGTTTAAGCTTCTTCCCTTCGTTGGCACGCGGGTATAATCTTATCAGTTCTTCGCCGCTCGCACATACGAATGAGAGAGGAAATAAGAAGAAAGAAGACAAGAAACTTTACACCCGCGATGTGCGTGCCTTTGATGGAGAAAAGAGTCGTGAGAGGCAGAGTTTTTTGTCTTTTTTCTTTTTCTTTTTTTTGCTCGGTGCGATGAACGAGGGAAAAGTGTGGAAACGCAAAACAATCATTGTATGGATATCGTTTTATGAGATAGAGAGTTGATAATGGTTTCAGGTTTCGCGGTGAATTACAATGGGTACATGTATGGCAAGTGTCGTTTTGATAATTACACGATCGGTTTGGAAAATATCGATGACGTGAGATCAATGATGGATAATTTTCCGCTTCTTTAGAATTCTATACAAACCTTCAACGCGTTTGTAAGAGGTCTGCGCTTTATCGCTGTGAAATCCAACAAACCCATAAAAACCCATAAAAACCGATAGATCCGTTCTTATTTTTTTCTTTTTCGCAAAAAAGAAAAACACGTTCAATTCAACGTACGTTAACGTCATCCGAGCGTAATTATCAAGAGAAACATCGCTCCCAAAAAAAGTCACTAATCTAATCAATAAATTGCGCAGCATCCCGATAAAAAAAAGAGGAATTTCTCCATAATGAAGCTACTTGTCGCCTACGAATGGCAAAGAACAGAGGCGGAGATAAGAAGCGGCGACGTGCCTGCGATTCGACGTGCAAGATACTACGAGCGAAACTCGAGCACGGAAAAGGACTTTTAACAGCTCGCAGCTTCCGTAGATCGGTACAAGAGGGGACCTCCCTGTGTCTCTTTTTACGACGGGGCCACACGCGCGCGACGACTTTTCCATGGGTGTTTGATTTCGGGGAAGAGTCGCCGAGATATATGCCTGGATAGACCACACACTTCTCGTTTCTCTTACGACACGGCTACATAATTCGGATTTCTCCGATTATCATGGAGATGATTTAAGTGCCACGCCAGCGTTGCGTGTATAGATTTCTTTTATTTACTATTGAATTGACAGATGTTTATCATAATGGTGGCGCTCGCATTGTGTTCGCTGCTGCGTCTACGCTTCTTTTATCCGTGAGAATGACTGCGCT